TTTTGGATAAAAAGAGGTTCTCAGCGTTCTTACGTTTCCTTTGATTTTAAATTGATTGAACATCACATTTTTTCTTTTGAAATGTTCCTTAACATAATTTTTGCATGTTTATTTGCCGAACGGTACTAAATCTGTTAGTATTTCACAACGATTATTGCTCATTTTAGTGTACAGTTATTTTTTGATGGGTGATTATTTTTATCATTGTTCATCAACGGCTAACGCAAAAAGTTATACTGATTTACGTTAAATGTTAATAATTTTAGGCTTTACGGCAGTGTCTGCGCTTGATTTCGGCTTGTATTGTCCGGAATCAAGAGTGCTACCGTTGGCCTAGCAGTTTTTACAGTTGGAAGTTACTGGTCGCATACAATGGATCTTTAATTTCTGATAAAGCCAGCCGAATTTTCGTCTGCGTACAAACAAATTTTTTATTCTGCCTGCGCTGTTAGTATTCAGATTGTCGTTTATTTTACTGATTGTTAAGCTGCGTAAAATTGAACTCTAATTTCTAGTTTTTTCTTCCGTGGATGAAGTGCTGAGATTTCTGGCCCTCCGGCTGTAGTCGTCATTTTGCTCTGTCAAAATGAATCCTTTTATTAGGAGGAATGGCTGCTTTGGAGACGAATTTTAAATCTGCCTACAAAAATTTTGATATGTTTAATTCGAATCAAGTAAATGTAAGTTTTATTACGTTGTGATATTGCTGCTACATGTCGTTCGTTGTCGCTTGAAAGTTAAAGTTATCAGCATAAAGATCCAATAAAAGTGTTTTTGTTAGAGTTACTGTTTATTTAACGCTGATTAGGTCAGATTGTTAATCCGGGCGTTTTATTTTTCATCTAGTTTTTTTTCTTTGAAAACGTTTCTGTTGCACTCTTCCTTGGTTCATTTTGTTTCCACTTTTGTTACGTCAACTGTTTCTTTCATGTAAAAAGTAATTTGAAATTTATACAGTTTACTTTTCTTACGCGGACTTCTACGTATCTTCGTTCATAATTACGTTTTTTAAAAGAATTATAGCTCTAGCGTATTCTGATTTGGGGTAAGATTTCAGGTGCTAGCTAGTTTGTAAATTCCAACGAAAACATTCTGGAGAAAATTTGAGATTAACCAGTGAACATTAAAGTTTTTCTTCCATCTTGATAACAGACTTGTAGGGCTGCTTTAGCAAAATTGAAATACCTTGGAGGAATTTCTAAGTTTTTCTTTGAATTGTGTCCTTATTGTCATGATGCGCAATCCAATTGTTTTTTGTTTTTCGCGTTATCGTTCGCTTTCTAGATTGGTAATAGAATTTTAAAACTTTAGCAGCAGCTTCTGCACTTTTATCTTTTTCAACCCTTGTTTTTAGGAATGGATCGCTGATTTTTTTCACACTTTTTACATACGTTTTTATCACCACTTTTTTTAGTATAATTCATCGTCGGTGTGGCCTCCTCAAAGTAACCATTCTAATTCTAACAGTTTTTCGTCATGGCCGCCTCAAAGTGCTCAGTCTAATAACTTACAAGTTAATAATTCCCAAGCTTCGGCGTCTTCGGCTAATTCATCGAGTTTTAATTCAGTGCCTTTCCTTAATCCTCCACATATGAATGTTAGCCATAATGCGTATTCGCCCAATCCTTCGTCTTTCAATAACAGGTAGTTTTATACGTTTTCAAAAAAAAATATACGTTTACCTTTTATATTAAAATTATCAATTCTTCCTAGTATACCTTTTCGTTACTGAGATGGTTATTTCTTCGTTTTACAAATAAAATCTTGTCTTCCGCGTATTGCTTAAAAAATTTCTCTTCTTTTTCTTTAGCTTTGGAGTTCTCTCGCAGCCGCACGTCGGTTTCCAAATGGCTGGTCACTTCCCGTCTACGTCCAACCAGAATTTGGCAGCGAGTCAGCAGCATTTGACTAATAACCATCAATCTTCCGCAACTCGGCCTACGAATGCTGATCACCCCCAAAACCGCACATACCGCGAAATTGCGACTGGTCCTCTAGTGAAGCTGACGATAGACCTTATAAAAACATACAAAGGCATTAATGAGGTCTTTTCTTTGCTCAGTTTTTGCAGTTCTACGTTTTACTTCAAACTGGAGTATAGCCAGTGAAGCGTTCAGATCATTTTTTAACGACAATTTTTAACAGGTGTTAACCCATATCCAATTTTTTCGCCAAATTAATTTATAATGTTTTTTTTTGGGGGGGGGGAGGGGGATATTATTTAGTTACTGTTTTTTTTTCTTTTTTTGTCAGACTTGAGTCGCAGTTTTTTCAGAGTTATTATGCTCGTAAGGCGAAAAGGCGGCACGATCATGGACATCAGCAGATATCCCAAGAGCACCAGCAATTGGCTCCACCACCTGTAAAACAGGCTCCGCCACACTCACAACAAGTAATATCATTATCTGATACCTAGTTTTCTGTTTACATAGTGCTGTATCTGTACTTTTTTTGTTAATTTTTTTAAAAAATTAGGGTGCATTTCAGCTTCCGCTTCTTCACCCTCAACAGTTGCAGCCTGTATTTCAACAGATTGTTGCTACAGTGCCCCCATCTGCACCTCCAACTCATTCAGTGCCTTTACCAACAGTTGTAAGTTCCACGAGTTTTTACATTTGTGATTCAGGCTTCTCACAGATATTTCGATTTTTATTAGTTTTCCCATTTTGAAGCCATATCTTTGCCGTTTATTTAGGTTTTTGAACGCGAGGTTCTCAATCCTCGTGTTGGATGCCGCAATAACGGGTATGATGATGAGCATCATGACTACATCATGCAGCCGGGTGAAGTATTTTGTAACAGGTCTTGTAGACTAACTTCTTTTACTTTACAGTATTTCACAAAGGTATTAAATAAGAAACGATCTAGTTTCAAGTATTTTTTTGCGTTTTATAGTATTACAGTTTTGCAGATATCAGTTGCGATGTCATTTGGGTAAAGGCTCTTTTGGACAAGTTGCAAAAGCTTTTGATGCTGTTGAACGACAAGAAGTAGCCATAAAAATTATTAAAAATAAGAAGCCATTTCATGAACAGGCTCAGATTGAGATTAAATTACTGGAAATGATGAATAAACATGATTCCGAATGTAAATATTATGTTGGTAAGTTCCTTCAAATCAAAGTTTGTTCATCTTTCTTGAAGTTTTCTTCAGAACTTGTCCTTTAACACATATGGTGTAGAAAGTACTGAATGATGAGTTAACTGCAGTTCCGCTGCGCTTATTTCGTTTATGCTGTTAATACCATAAATTATTTTTTTCTTAATGTGTTCTTTCAGTTAAATTGAAGGCTCATTTTACTTGGCGAAATCATTTATGTCTTGTATTTGAGCTTCTGTCTTATAATTTATACGATTTATTGCGCAACACGAACTTTCGAGGAGTATCTTTGAACTTGACTAGGAAATTTGCACAACAGGTATATTTACACTTTAATCCTGGTCAGCATAATAGACATCACAGAAGTAGCGCGATAGTCAAGAATTGTTTAACCAAGGATTTGCTGACAAACGCTGTAAAACACCTGTTTGCTTTTAGAGTTTTTGTCTTATTTTCTTTAAGCGAAATAATACAGAAACATTGCTATGAGTAATGCGATACTTGGCATATAGATCTTGGGATGAATTTGAGTTTCTAAAAAATTACCTCAAACCAGTCATGGAATAACTCAATTTTTCTTTATCTAAGAAAGTGTATCACAATTATGCAAATAGACGGGGTATTATAACGTTTACACGCGTAATGAGAGGACATATTTAGCTGTGTACAACGCTGCTGTTCCTTTCCCAGCCGGAACTCAACATTATTCATTGTGATCTGAAACCGGAAAATGTGCTTCTTTGCAACCCGAGACGTTCTGCTATCAAAGTGATTGATTTTGGTTCATCTTGCCAAGTCGGGAATCGCATTTACCAGTACATACAATCAAGGTTTTACCGCTCTCCTGAGATCTTACTTGGAACTCCGTACGATATGGCTATAGACATGTGGTCGTTAGGTAATTTGTTACAATAATGGCGCATTTTTGTTTTGTAAAGATGGGGTATCGTAATAGAGTTTTGGAGACTCGAGTTATTTACAGTATTTTTTTCTGTAGGGTGCATTTTGGTTGAAATGCATACTGGAGAAGCTCTCTTTGCCGGCTCGTGTGAGTATGATCAAATGATGCGTATTATTGAGGTACTTGGGATGCCTCCGAAACACATGCTGGATATCGCTACAAAAACCAAAAAGTTTTTTGACAGATTAGAAGGTATTATAACGCAGGTTTTTATGAAAGTTTGTAGTAAATTATATTTGTTATTGTGGAAAAGGTTTCATAGTTACTTGATATGATTTCGTTTTAGATGGAACGTATGTTCCCAAGGAATCCCCTGAAAAGAAAAGTTACCGATCTCCTGGGCAAAGACGTTTGGCAGATATTTTAGGAGTTGAGACTGGAGGGCCAGGCGGCCGCAGACTAGGTGAACATGGTCATACACCTGAAGATTATTTGAAGTTTAAGGTCAGTGGAAAATCCTCTTTTAAATTCTGATTTTTATAAGGGCTTTAAGACGTCGAGTATCTTGTTGTTGCAGGACTTGATTGAGCGAATGTTGGTTTATGAACCAGAAAAGCGGTTAAGTCCTTATTACGCCGTAAGGCATCCATTTTTCAACAAAAGGTCGGGCGAAGATGCGGGCCATAGTTCACATTCTTTATTTCGGCAGCCAGATGAAGTAAACATGACATCGTCTGGCGTGCGTCCTTCGGCGCCGGTATGTATGTTACCACAGTCACAACAAAACAATCTGCAACAACTGGCAAGTGTAATCACTTTATTTCGCTAAATCGTTATTGTCTTCATTACCGTTTGTGCATTATAGGTACAAACGTTTCCAATACCTCAGCCTCTTTACATGGAGGATGCATCGGTAAATCAGATGGATTGTACAGATCCTGTATTGGCATCGGGCAACATGCATTTGCATCAGCAGTTAAATCAGGTCGGGTTTTTATTTATACGTTCTGTGTTACTAGATTTATAGCATTACTGTTTGCCATTTTTTGGGGATAAATTATATTTTATTTTTTAGGCACAAGCTGCACAGCCCAGTGGAATACAACACAATTTCTCCACCAATGGGAGCTTTCAGTAAATTTTCTGTTTGTGGGCTGTAAATGGTTTCATTTTGTTTAGCTGTCTTTGTATTAATATTTACCCTACTTATAATGCTATTAATCGCGGTATTTTTCTAATCGTTTGCCTTTTTAGAGTTCCAGCGCAGAACTTTTCCACCTTGTCACAGCAACAACATGGTCAGTTTGCCGCGCAAGAACATAATGCTTCCTCAGTTATGAATCCTTCTCAACAGCAGCAACCACAGCAACAGTTGAATCAAGCACATTTCATGGATACACAACAGATACAGCCCGATCACTCTTTATGGCCGTCGAATAATGTTGGTGATTCAAATAGATACGGTCATCATGTTCAAATCCCTAGTAACTTTCAACCAATCCAAAAGGTAATTTTTGGGGTCTTAGTTTTTAAAGCTACTGTCGAGTTCAGCTGAATGTTCTTTTGAATTTTACAGTCTACTGCATTACCACAAAGTCGGAATCTTAGCTTTGACGGGCCGATTATGGGAGGTTCATCAGGTCCTATGCATCTGAGGCCGTCAAGTAAAACAGGGACTCTGGGATCGACCAACCCGACGTCTGTAATTTTTCCTAACACTTTTATTCAGCAACACCAGTGATTTGCGGGGATATCCTAAGATCATTTAGTAAGGTTGAAGTTTCGGACGCGACCATTTTAGCCATTTTAATTCCTTCTCACGCGTTTTGGAATACCAATATTTATTGGGCATTCCGAAGTTATCTTGCAGGACAGGGATGTTGGGCGCGACTAATCCGACTTTTATATTTTTTTCGTAACGCTTATCCAATAGCATCAATGATTTCTGGACATTCTTAATCGCTCGCTGCTTTCTCAGTAGCTGAATGCGTTCAATTTTTTTAATGGAGTCAAACTCGCAGTTTCAGCAAGAGAAAGTAAATCTGTATCTTGACGTTTTCCTCAGGGCATTCCCTCTGCATATTTTGTTTTTTCCTTTCTTTCATGGAGTAACTATAATTTACAAGGTTTTAGAACTTATCATTTTCTACGAAAGTATTCTGTCGAATTTGGTTTTGCTTTTCACAGATTTCTGTGATCAGTAAATTGTGTCATACAGCAGCTGTAACATCTTCTCTGGGCACGCAAAAACTGTGTGATAAATAGATTTAGAATATACAGAACATTGTGCAGGGTTTTTTTT